CGAGGGAGGGGTCCTGGGTCGGGGGAGGCGGCAGAGATGTGAGGGGAGCAGGCAGGGCACAGGGCGTGCCGGTGTCTTGGGGGGGTGTTGGTCGAGGCCCGGGTGGTGGTCAGGAAGTGGGTCCTGAAGGAGAGGTTTGCTGTTGCCGGGGGCACTGTGTGCTTTGTGCTGGGGCTGGGAGGTGCTTAGGTAGCAGTGAGGGATGGGGTCATAGAATCATAGAATCGTTTGGGTTGGAAAAGACCTTTAAGATCATCTAGTCCAACCATTAACCTATGCTACCAAGTCCCCACTAAACCAATCAAGGGTAGACTAGACTAAACCATATCCCAGAGTGCCATGTCTACTCGTTTTTTGAACACTTCCAGGGATGGTGACTCCACCACCATCAGGTGGTGGTCAGGTTACCTTCCGCTGTCCTGGTGTCTTTCTGTTCCTGGAAAGGGGAGTTGTGGCTTTTCTGCATTAAGTAATTTTTTTCCAACAGGCATTCCATCAGTATTTGCATTCTCTGACTAGCTAGCAATTCCTTCCTATTAGAACCTTTTGTGTAATGAAACTGTACAGGGAGCTCTAAATCCATGTTGTTAATAATGAGAGCAACTTAAAAGTAAAGCAGAGCACCACGTTCAGTGTTGTCACAAAGAGCAAAGGTAGTTTGTCCAGTAGTTGCAAAAGCATATTTGTCAGTACACGGAGTGGATGCTAAGTTCCCTCAATAGATGTGACCAAGAACCAGTAATGGGTAATTTTTCCCTGAGTTGTTCTTTTCCTTCTCTTCCATTCTGGCTCTAATACTGTTTGGATGCAATAGAAAATGACTTTAAACTTGCTTTTCTCCTCCCCCAGGATTATTGAGCTGTGTCATCAGTTCCCTCATGGTATCACAGACCAGGTGATTCAAAATGATATGCCTCACATGGAAGCCCAGCAGCGAGCCATGGCGATCAACAGGTTGCTCTCAATGGTAGGGTGATCTCAGCTTCCTCATGCTACTTCAGCCGACCCGGAGCACTGTTCATACACACAGTCTGCATGGTAGCAACCTGTTCGGCAGAGCTAGCAAATTAATCCTTTCGGATTTAGTGGCATTTGCCATAATGTACAGTTACTTTAACTTACTTTTGGTTGCCATAAGCACTCATGATTGCCCAAACCAATTAAAACATACCTCAACTTACTCTTTCCATTCTGTAACACAAAGTTGACATGAATGTGTATATCTATGTCAATTTCTAGGTGTGGAAGCTACCACTGAGAAGTACCACATTTATTTTTTTGATGTGTCTAGAGTCCTTTGGTCATCTTTTCCCTGTGTATCACTTTGTAAAGCAGAATGTGATATGATGGTCTAATGTAACAGTCAGGTGCAAGTGTAGTTGCAGTGGTTCAGCAGGTGGAAAGATGGCCACAGGTGGCAACCACAAGGCCCATTAATGATGGGGAGTGAATTAGCTAGAGATAAAAGACTGGATGTTAGCCCATGCTCTTATATGTGAAGGTCTTCTCAAACCCTTCACGAAATCCTGAAATTGTGGATTACTCTGATAACATGCAGGTGAAACATCTCGAGGAATTTTTTTGCATCTTCTGTAAGTTTCCTACATCTCACTTTACTGTATCAGGAGTCAGTCAAAGATAAGAGTGAGGGTCATCGTCAACTGCTTCTGCCATGTGTTCAGGAATAGATAGTACCTGTTTAGCCTTGTTGGTTCAGTGTGGCATAAACTTGATTATCAGCTAAATATTCAGGGTCTTTAAAGATCAAGATTCCTTTCAGTTCCATAGCTAGCTGCTTCATGGGCGTGTGATGTCAGGGAATAAAGCAGACTGAGTGGTGCAGTCAAGAGAGCACTGTTGAGAAGAGGGGCACTTGCTTTCTGAGAAAGGAGGATGTTGGAAAGTATCCAAACTGAGCAAGGTGTGGTGTTTTGGGTTGTTTTTTTTTTTTTAAACAACCCAAACTTATTAGCTTGGACCATACTAGGTGCCAGTGGAAGTAATCTAATCTGTGTCTTTTTGGTCTTTCTCTTATAGATGAGAGATTTATCAGCATATTGGATGTGAGCTTGTGTTTTCAATAACTTTTGAAAGGGCTGGCTAAATTTCACAGTGAGGTTTCAAAGATAGTTAGGTCTCTAGAATTAGTTTAAAATAGATGCCTGGGGGAGTGGGGAGTGTGTGGGGAGATCTGGTAAGTACCTCAAATATGGGGAAAAACTGCAGTGAGAGCTCAGCCTTAATGAGCATCAGGTACTTCACTTGAGATAAGCTGCAAGTACTTCATCTGCAGAAGAGCATTGAAGGGCATCATGTGGAGGTGTGAGCTCCAATCAACCACATAATGCAAATCTGTAAGAAACAAGGCAGTAACTATGGGGAAAGGATTAGCTGGCAATGAAAGAGTTAATGCTGTTATACACAGTTATGCTCTTGGGCTTGTGTAATTGCCCCTTCAAAATAGGAAATAAGAATTTGCCTTGCCTAGGCACAAGTGTCAAGGGCAGGACAAATGTTTTGTGTGTGTGAGATGCCAGTAATTTGCCTCTGAGAGGCACTATTGATCCTGGCTGGCAGTTTCCCGATGATCTCTACTTAGTGAAAAATAGAACTTTGCTACTGGGATGCAGAATTGTTCAAAACTTGTTCAGTAGAGCTCCAACATGATTTCTGGGTAGCCATGCAAATGAGTATTCTGGTGGAGAGCAAAGTATACAAGAACTTGATGTCCCTTGTGCAATGGTAAAAGTTAGGAGAAATAATAGGAAGTGCATAGATGTTGTGGGAAGGGCTCGGAAATGTATTTGTTATTTTTGATAGCTGATGATAAGTGGATACTTGTAGAGGAAAAAAATATCCTCAAGGGTATTATGGTTTCCAGTGGTTAGAAATGTTAGTTTTCCCTTTTTTTTTTATTCAGTTGACATGAAATAAGGTTTTTATTTTAGAAGTTTAGAAGATTCTTGCCTCCTTCTGAAACAAGCTATTTGAAAGAAAGTAAATGCATTGTGCCCATCTCTCCTAGGGGCAACTGGACCTTCTCAGGAGCAATGCAGGTCTCCTGTATAGAATCAAAGAGTCTCAAAATGCAAGGTAAGCCTCATGTTTGTTGGACAAATATATTTGGAACACAGTCCTGCAACTCGCGTGCAACATTGCTGAGAAGACACTCAGCAATGTAATATGGATTCTGTAACATGGATGTTAGAGAACATAACTGCTTGTTTCAGGAGGGTACACTTAACTCCCCTGAGCTGATCCTGAAAACTTTTAGGTAGGTTTCTACTGAACAGAGGGTGCCATGGGACTATAGCTCTAATTTGCTAGCAGAGTTTGTGGTCCAGATGACAGCAGAAGGATCTGTGGAAACATGTACGTGCTCAGGTGGAATCCACCTGAAGCCCAACCATACCACCTGCAAACTGTGGTTCTGTGGTCTTCCTCACTGCTTGTGTTACAGGATCAGCACTCATATTTACAGCTGTTCAGGAGGCCACTTGAACTGCTACTCATGCTCTTTGATTTATTAAAATGTACCTTCAAACCATGCCTTGTGATACTTACGTAAACCTGAGTAAAAGATGCCTTAGACATACTTCTGGAAAGAAATACCCTTCAAAATTACCCTCAGTGCAGGCGTGTCATCCTCTCTTTCCAATGCTTTAGAAAAACATTGCTGAGTTCAGGCTTTCTCAGACAAGTGAGAAGGCATGTTTTAGAGTTGGGAGCATGCTGCTGTCCCTTTGTAGATGTTCTGTCTAGAGACAGATTATCCTAAATTATGCTCCATACTGTGTTTGACCTTCCACAGTTGTGTTAATATGTGACTCAGAATTCCCTATTGTTATGACAAGTTGAGTGACTCCTGCTTAGTCATTTTTCTTTCATACTGTGCTCTTTTCTCTTTACTGTGGCTTCTCAGTGGCAAGCTTGGCTTGATCCAGAGAGGTTTAGTGTCATGTATTATATTTGCCAGTGGCTGGCTTGTTGTGTGGTGGGTTTTTTTTTTTCCTTTGTGCATTGTTTTTTTCATAGTCCTTGTTTTCACTTTAAAACAAATCCAACTTCTTTCAAATTTTGGACCTTTCAAAAATCTTGATGTCTGTCTTATTTTACAGTAAAATGAAAGGCTCTGACAATCAAGAGAAGCTGGTTTACCAAATTATAGAAGATGCAGGCAACAAAGGTAGTTTAAATAAATTATAATTGTGAATGGTACTAACTCTGTTTACTTATGGAACCATTCCTGTCCAAACTTTTAAATGCTTATCCAGACAATACAAATACAAAATCTAGAGCCCCCGTACCAGGTCTGTAGCTAATGTTCCATGTGTCCACTTTTTAAAAACAAAAGAGAAAACGACATGTTTCTCTATTAAAATAACAGCCTGTCCTGCTGGTTGACTTGGGGGGTGGCTCTTTCAGAATACTTGCAATGTGAATTAAGATTTATCTATGGGACTGTCAAGCTGAGGAATCTGCAGAACACTCACTACTTAAAAGAAAATGTATTATCTATATTGGATTTAATAGGTGTACTGCCAGCAGAAGCCACTGCTAGTAACTAGGCTTCTCAGCAGTTGTTGCCCACTGTGGTTGAGAGATGGCAGGTAGAACTGGCTGTCATATTTTTGTTGGAGCAAACACTAGTTACCTGAAAATGCAAGAACATTTATGTGATGTATTCACATTGGCAGTGAAATGGTGTCCACTTGTAAGAGCTCTTGGAGGAGAGGCAAAGGGCAGAAGGACAGTGGGGTGGTTGTAGTATGCATTTTTTGTTTTGTCAGTTGTTGTTTGTTTGGGTTTTTTTGTTCCATCCCCTTCTGTCCCTTCCCTCCCTTTTGCTGGGAATGGTAGGATCAAGGATACATCCTTCGGTTGGCAAGCGAGTCAAGCAGTGTTGTGAATTGGCTTCTGGTTTATGAATATGCACAGAAACAAATGGTTTCTTCTATTCATTTCCATTCACGTCTCTGTTTTAAAACAGGTATTTGGAGCAGGGACATTAGATACAAAAGTAATTTGCCTTTAACGGAGATCAACAAGATACTGAAAAACTTGGAAAGCAAGAAACTAATTAAAGCAGTTAAATCTGTGGCAGTGAGTATTTTATGACTTTTTTTTAAACCATTTCCAATGTTTGCTGCATGCTGTTTATGTTTGAACAGGAGACTGGGAGCAGAGAAACCTCATTCTGCCTCCAGCTTTCTCACTGACTATGCACCAGCATTTGACTCTCTGCCTTTAGTGTACAGGTTTGAGGTGCAACAGATACAGGAGGCTATAATGTTTATTAAATAATCAACATACTGCTAACAAACTGATTAATAATCTAATTAATAAACACATCACTATTAATACACAGTTCTATCTCTCTTTCCACCACTACTAATTACACACTATTAGTATCAAATTGCAGTTTTAGTTCTCTTAATTCTTTATTGCACACGACTGTTGTTATAGTTCTGTTAGCTCTCACAAACCTGTCGCAATTCTTACTACTAATCTGCAGTTCTGTCACCATTTTCTCTGCGCTTCCATACAGTCTTAAGGACATAAACCTAGGGAGGGGTCTGGTGGGTTTCCCTCCAGCATACCAATGGGCTTGGGTCCACAGGTCAGCTTCTGTGCTGTCGCATCCACACTCCTGCTGTCTGCAGATCCTGCCCTCTCTTGTTCTCTGATTTTTATACCTTAGTCTCTTTTTTTGTTTAACTCTCTTTTCTACCACCCTTTTCTCCTTTGTCCACTCAGTCTCTACCCAAATAAGCAACATGCCCGTAATTACTTTTTCTTCATCGATCCCAATGCTGCTGTACTACAATTAGGTATTTCTGATACTGAAGCAATCTCAGCCTTTTATATGGGACTAGTGATATGGTTACCTCGCTGCAAGTGGCCTTGCAACGTTCTTCTCCCTTGGAGATCCTGAAACTCCCTTCAGTTATCTGGTTCATACTGGATTTGTATTGTTTACTTCAAACAATGTCTGAGATACTTGATTCTGGTTTAGTCTTGGCTCCTCCACTTTGTTCCAGTTACTCGAGGACGTTCTTATCTTACATGCAGACAGTCCAGGTACCAGAGTAGGGCTTATCCTTTTCCATGGTTTTTCTCACTCTATTGTAATGCTCATGCAGCATCCTGCTCTCCCTTACCTGCTTAATTACAAATCATTGGTATTAGCATGTTCTTTGGACTTTCTCCTGGTTTCCAGCAGAGATTCTGTCTTGTTGCAGGGCCTGGTACACCAGGAAGACTACTTGTTTGTGAACTCTTAGAAAAGGCACACAACAGAAAACTTCCATGTGCCAGTCTCATCTGCACCTTGGAGGCAATACCTTGGCTTGCGTGTCTGTATTTTTGGAGGGGACAGAGGGGGTAGTGAGAGGTGAAGGTAACTTCCTAAATAAAATTAAAATTGAGATAAAGAAGTTGGACATAGAGAAGCAGTAGCTCTTTCAAGTTTTTGAGATGCTGGTTTTGTCTAGTCATACAGGGAACGTAACGGTGCTAAAATTGCTTCAGTGGCTGCTGAGTAGCCCTTTGGATGACTTGTTCTTTAATTGTCTGACTACTAATATCAGGACTGAAGCAGCATTCCTGTTCACCCCGTCTAGGTGTGGCGGTAAGGAGTGGGCTCACAAGGGCTAACTTTAACTGCAGGGTTTAATCATGTAAAGGCTCTCCTATCATCAGTGCATGGGTTGTCTCTTGCAGGAACAGTTGTAAGCCTCTCTGTTAAGCTTGTCTTTGCTGTCTTCTAAAGACACTTCTCTGCTTTCCTTCAACTGTGGAGGGGGATTAGAGTCAACAGGTTAAAATTAGACTCTGACATCTTCAGTGAGGTTTGGATTGTGTGCACATTGTTAGTAGGATTCTCTCTTCTAATGCTATGTTACAAAATTATTAGGAATCTGAGTGTATTGATCTTCCCTTTATCTCCATCTTACCTGTGGGTCAAACATGTTAATGATAGCTTGAGTCAGCTGGGCTGCTGTGCCCCAGGTTTTAGAAGTAATGAACTATGTCTTTTGCAGATATCTTCTTAAGTTTTCCTTTCTTATGGAAGACTTTCAGCTGCTAAGAGCTGTGCATTTTTCTCTAACAGGCATCCAAGAAGAAGGTGTATATGCTCTATAACTTGCAGCCTGACAGGTCAGTGACTGGTGGGGCTTGGTACAGTGACCAAGACTTTGAGTCTGAATTTGTGGAGGTGTTAAATCAACAGTGTTTTAAATTTCTACAGAGTAAGGTGAGTGCCACTATGAGAGTTACCTTCCATTTGTTTTGTGCAAGTAATTCTTTTCCTTAGAAAACTTGTGACAGGCAAGGCTTAAGTTTTCCATAGTGTTTTCTGTAAGGGTTGGCCATTGTTATAACTGGATTGGCAAATCCATACTGGATTGTATTTGTCACAGCAAGTGTGCTGGTGTTGCATTTTAATAATGTGTATTTTCACACCCTGTACAGAGAGTGAAGCCTTCTCTCTCTGAAGTCCAATGACAAGCTAGGCAGCAAAGAACACAGGACCAAAACTAGCAAAAGTCACTGTTTTCCCTGCAGAGCTCCTAATTTCTGAGAGGGTGGAAGGCACTAGTCAGTTAGCTCTGCCTAGAAGACAATTTTCTCTAGTATAACTGCAGGAGAAGCCTGCTCTCCATTAAATAAGTCCTATGCAGATTGCAGCATTTCTCTATTCCATTAAAATATTTAGGTACAGCAGAAACTTCTTCTGTGTCAAAAAACTGCCAGATGCTGATCTTCCTTCATATTAATCTAAATCACTGTGTAAATTTTGTATCATATTTAGTGTAAAATTATGTTTGGTTGTGCACTGCATTGTCTCATGTACTTCAGTCTTAATGATATAGCTTTAAATGCTAAATAAAAAACATGTCCCAGAAATGGTTTGGAAATCAACTTTTGTACTTCAGTCTGCCTGAAACTGAACCACGAAGGAGGCTCTTGGCAGTGAGTACTGCCCATAACTCACCTTTGCTTTTTCTCAGGCAGAAGCAGCTCGAGACAGCAAACAGAATCCCATGATACAAAGGAACAGCTCATTTGCCTCATCCCATGAGGTGTGGAAATACATCTGTGAACTGGGTATCAGTAAGGTCAGAATAGATTAATCTTACTACTCTCAAAATTCTCAGTGCTTTACTAGCTGCAGGAGTTGGGTCCTTCAAATTTGGTGAGGGTCCAATAAGTGCTACAGTTACTGTATTGGAAGTGGGCTTTGCTGCTTTACTGCTTTTTGAGGAGGGTCAGCGGTGCTGCATGGGATTCCAGGGTAGTTTGTACATGTGGGTTTTCAAAGACTTACAAAAGAATTAGCATTCACATCCTTGTTGGTGGGAACTGGAGTAAGTTTTCCTTTAGCAATCTCAAGCAGTTGACATTTTGTAATTTCTCTCAAGTTTGCCTATGCACTTCAAGCAGTTTCGGGGAGGGGGGGGGAACCCCCTGCAATTACCAGTCGCCATCAACAGGCATCTTTGCAGTAGCCTGTCGTCTTTCACAACCGTTTTCTTGTGAAACTGGAAATGTATCATGCTAGGATGATGTAGACACTTGAGGTGCATAGGGAAGTTCTTTTTGGTAAGCCAAGGCAAGTGTAATCCAGAAGTGCTTGGGAAGTGTTGGTATTTGCTTTTCTTTCTGTATCTGCACAACCCCATAAAGTGCCCAGTGAGAGTGGTGCCTTTATCTGGGCTTGCTTAGAACTCTCTTAGATTTGTCACTCGTGGGGTTTGCTCATTTCCTGCTTGCAGGACTTACTGGCATGTGTCTTTCCTAATATTTATTTTACAAATTATTTCTTAGGTAGAGTTGTCAATGGAAGACATTGAAACCATTTTAAATACGCTAATATATGATGGAAAAGTGGAGATGACTATTATTGCCGCAAAGGAAGGGACGGTAGGCAGTGTGGATGGACAGATGAAGTTGTACAGAGCTGTTAGTCCTCTCATACAACCCACTGGATTAGTCAGGACGCCCTGTGGACTCTGCCCTGTAAGTAACTAATTCTGTGTATGAATAGGTGGGTGCATGCAAATTTTTAATACAATCCTGCAAATGGCCAGCCAGCACATTGCCAGGTTATGCCCGTGAGTGATCCTTGTGGCTTTCTAAGCCAACTGTGTTTGAGTGTTATCCGTGATGCCTTAGCTATGGTGTAAGAGGCAGGTTCTTTAGTTTAGACCACGATGTTGCCCATTTATATCCTGCCCCTGTACTGGACCGTACGTGAAAGGGTGCTGTCAAGTGTAGCCTGTTCCAAATCATATTATATTTTCTGATCTCAAGTTTGCCTATTTATGTTTTTTAACAAGTGAACTTATTTCTGTCTAGCTTTTGGTCTCTCCCACTTGGATTGTAAACTGATATGTAGGTAAAACTTGCCAGTGTATCTGTTCGCATCATTACTCCAGTGGGGTCTGTTTTGCTTCTCTTCTTCAGGGCTGGCATAGGACTTCCTAGCTCTTGGCCTCTGTTAGACTACAGCTTTTCTACTGGGGAAGGAGCAGAAAACATGCGAGCATGTTGCTTCCAGTTAGGTCATGCTTGCTGTATATAATTACTGACACAGGGCTTGCTTTTGCAGATTTTTGATGATTGCCATGAAGGTGGTGAGATTTCTCCATCAAACTGTATTTATATGACAGAGTGGCTGGAGTTTTAAAGTGAAAGAAAACTGTAAACTGGATTCATGCTTCACAGCCAAGGTGACAAAGCAGCTTGCTTTTTTTAAAAGTGGACTTCAAATTTGTGAGTAACTTCAGGACATGAAGTGACTTTGTTTTTAATGAAATGTAAAGCAGCAGTGCCATTTGTGTGAGCAGTCCTGTGAGAGGACTGGAAATTGAATCAGCACTGAAGATCAAGGCTGAAGTGGAAATGTAGATCCATTCTTGTACCAAAAATTGGTTGTGTGACTTGAAAACTGCCACAGAACAACTGAGTGGTGATGCATCGTTTCCAAGGATTGTGTCGAGTACTCCACAGACCTTTATTCTGAATGAGAGAAAATAAGTCATTAGCTGATCAGAAAAACTTGCTAACAAATGTTGCCAAGAATGAGATTCCAAACTTCGCTTTCAGACTAATGCCCACTGGTGGGTGCTTAAGTCCTAAAGCTGACACTTTTTTCTCCCATGATAGCTACCATCTAGTTGAAGACTAAGAATCTGAAGTGGGAAAGATCCTAAATAGGTCAAACAAAACTCACTAATTCTTTATTATCTTTCTTACCTGCTAATTTATCATTAAAACCCTGATTTCTCTCATGTACATCTGTGCTTCATTTTCTCCATTGCTGCCTTGCCTGGTGATGCATCTGTTCTATTTATTCCTTCATCTGACAGCTACAAGATCATCATCAAGTGTGTTGGTGTGTTCTGGCAGCTGCATCATGTACATGAATACGTCAGCTGAAATTTTAAGTAGAAGTATTCTGGGAAGATGTTTTCCAGAACAGAAAAAAAGAGTTCCTCAGGCCTGATGGCACAGGGAAGATTTTTTTTTTTTATAGATTATCTGAATACCCTCGAGCTTGAAAAAGATGCCAGTGACAGTTGTTTGTACATAAATATGGCCTCTGGCCTTGGTTTGTGATCTGAGAAAGGCATGATATTGGCATATCATCAAAAAGTACAATCTTCTCTTCCTGTGAGGTGGAGCCAATTTGTGTTTCTCTTAAGTGTGACTGCTCTGGCTCCTTCTCTGTGTGACTCTGGACTGATGAATTGGCAATAACATACAGACTGTGGTGTTGTCATAAGCCTCGTGCCCAGGGTATGCTGGGCCATGGACCTCTTAAGAGAGAGCTGTGTCTTGTTTCCTCTGGCTCCTGATGTCCATCTGGTGGTATTAGAGGGGTGATACTGTCTCTGCAAAATGTAGGTTCAAATCCAACTTGGGAAGTAAACAGATTTTTGTACCAACTATGTTATACTAATTAGTTACTCCACCTCTTCCTTAACCTATAATCAAGCGACCTCTAGGAAAAAAAAAGTTGGATCCTTTTTCATAAATGAGAATATTGTGCATGTATGGTACAGCCAGCTCCTCACCATCCAGCATAAGAGGGCTGGAATGAAGTACTAGCAGGCAGGGTAGCGTAGACACATAAACTGTGCAGAGACAGTCTGGTCCCAGTACAACTTGCTACCTGTGGCTTAGCCTTGCTGTGTCCGGCTGGATCTCTACACAACTACTCATATCTTCATGATAGCCTTCCAGCACTGGGAAACAATTAGCGGGATGAACACAACACTGGACCTGTTGCATCTAGCTATTTTCAAAATTCCCTGTCTGAAAATAAGCCCTCCTGGACACTGTTGGGAGGGCAATGGTCAAGCACTTCTACAACTGAGTTATCAGCATGCGAGGTAATCTGACCATGAGTAGTAAACAGTGGGCTAACATAGAGAGATTTTGGAAGACAGTTTACCAAATAAGGGTAGGAGACTTTACATCAGATATTTCAATACTGTCCAGGAGTTTGCACCTTCTAAAAGCAGTCTGGATCCCACAGAAGTGTTCAAATCTTGCTTGATTCCTGTTTTCCTACTTAGAGGGTGCGCTGTGGACAGGAGGCTAATGGTGGTAAGTGCTGTTCAAAGAATAATTAAAAAAAAAAGTTCCTGTTCCGTACAGGGATGGTATAGATACAGAGGCAAAAGCTCCTTGTTTGCGGGTAGCCATGCTGTCTCTGACTGGAGCAAACAACTAGTGCTGATAAGTTGACATGTCCGTGCAAGGAGTTTGATTGTATTAGCTAGTGTGAGCACCCAGAGTGGTCTCTTCCTTTTGTTGCAGTGTTGTCTCCAGGTGACGGGGATGCATATCTCTACAGAGGCAGAAGAGCGCTTACAAAAGAGAAATGGGTGTGAAATGATCAGATGTTTGTTCTTTCTCTGCCCACTTTAACCACTCGGCACACTGAAGCCTGAGGAAAACTCATGGCTGCTCACTTCACTGGAGGGAGCCTTAACCTCAGCTTCAGACTTCGTTATGTGGCTAAAGGTAATTGCATTGAGGTGTGGGGCTGGGGTTGCCTTTGTCTTCCTGCCTTCAAAGAGGACCTAACACAATGGGGCCCTGAATCCTGCTGCTGCAGAGATAACATATTGTTTGTGCTCTACTGCAGCTACAAGATAGCTTTCAGGGAAACAACACGTCTTTATGATGCGGGTACGTCACTTTATGCAGTATGACCGTATTCATTTGCAGTAAGAAAAAGGAGGGAGAGCTTGTTAGCGAACAGCTTTAGGAAGTAGAGAGCTGGTTTATTAAGCTGTCTAAATTCTAGCTCATTTGTATTGGGTTTATCTGGTTTCGATGATCTCTGTGGTCTCTGAAGCTTTTTAGTGTTGCAGCTGTAACAAGACTTCTGAAATTTGAAAAAAAGCATGCCTATAGACAAAAGTAAAGTAATTTCACTGTCCTGTCTGTAAAACAGGAATCTGTCTGATCTATTTCTAAATTGGAGGAATGATCTTTCTGTCACTCTGGTTCTTCATGAACCTGGCTGATCATAGATTAGCCTGTAATTCTTTTTTTAAAGAGGGAGTAAATGCTAAAAGGTAACATAGTCTAGTCTTTTTTCCCTTCCCTGAGTTCCTTCAGTCTTCTACCTAGCAAAGCTATTCCCTTTACAAACTGGTATGAAACGTAATGTTTTTGAGGAAGCGGTAATACTAGCTCCAATACTGAATATGATAATACTTGTGTGTAGAAAGCTAAAGTTAATCCTCAAAACATGGATGACTACTTGGAAGCATGATCTGCTCATTTCTTCATGCAGGCCTCATACAAGAGGCCGTACAGTTCAGCTGCTGCAGGACCACAGGGGACCTCCTGGGTTGGAGAGCTCAGCCCCGCAACCACCCTGCTGTGAACCTGCCTGCCCTGAGCGGTTTCCTCACTAGTGGTCACCGACTGTACAAAAGCAATTTGGAGGGTGATCACACCCAAATGCTATTTTCACATGGAATCAAGTGCAAGATCGCTTTTTATTTCCAAGAGAAACATTAACTACAGTACCAGGCTGTATTGTGAACTGAGGGAGAGCACAGCTAGCAAGTACTGTTTAATATGTCTAGCCTTTACAGTCCAAGGTTTAAAACATTAACATTAATGGCAAACTAGAAGCTTTGATAATGAAAACATTTACCCCCTGGCTGAGGGGTTGTTCAGTTTTTCCTGGTTTTGTTTTTTTTATTTACTTTGATTATAACTCTCGCCCCTGTTGGAGGTGCTAAGCGTGATGGTTGTTCATCTGGTGCTGTTCGAGTGCCATCTTCTGTCTCGTCCCGGTATGGCTCCCCTAGGGCTCAAGAAAGAAAAGAGAAATCTCTTAAACCCTGCTCGGGTTTCCTGTTTTGCCTCCAGGTGCAGAGCAGTTTTTGGGAAGAAATGAGCGGGGACAGCTGGGTCTCCTATTGCTGCCAAACACTTCATGCTTTGAAACAGGGTATAGATACCTTCAACAGGGCTGTCCTCCAGACCACCTTCCCCTCTTGCTTTGCGTGGCTGGGACTTTCTGCCATTTTATCTGTGAGAAATGAGTAGCCAGGCCCTCAGCCGTGCTGAGCCCAGCTTAGCCTGCGGCCTGGAGGGGACAAACGGGTACGGTGAGAAGCTCCACGGATTGTGTCCAAGCTCTTGTTGAAAATGTTCACTTCCTCCCTGAGAAGGTTATTTATTGCACTTCACATGCTCTTCAGGAGGTCCTGGGGGCAGTGGGGAGGAAGGGAAGTGGAGCTCAAAGCATTCTCCTCTTTCAGCTGTTGAACACAAAACAAGTTGGGGCTTATGTATGTAGTCTGTGTTTTTCTCCCTCTCTCTCACTTTTTGAGCAAGATTGTGATTGTTCCAGGAAAACAGAAAAATGGGAAAGCTTTTACTTTAGTTATTTGGTCTAGAAACACAGGTCTTTAGGATTTTGCTCATCTTGAAAGCCCACAATAGTTGCTCAACGTTTTGATTAATCTAATGCTAGCAGGGTGGGTGCAGCATGGCCTCGAAGCCCTGGGTCCCAGGAAGGCGCTGTGCTTTGCTTTTGAGACATGGCAATGAGAGGAAGATGTAAAATGAAGGATAAAGTTAATAACTCCAGAAGAGCAAATTTGCTCTGCCTCTTGCTGATATTGCTTGGAGAGCAAGTCCTGGGTCTGAGAATGTTAACAATAGTAGTAATTTGAATTTTACACACTTTAGCATATATGCATAGGTAGCATTCATCTACTTTTTTATTCCCACTGAATTTGTGATCTTTCTGCTCGCATTCAGACTTTACACAAGCAAATTTAATCCCTGCAGAGCACACAGCTTGCCTTATGTTAGGAAGTTGGGAAGGCAGTATTAATGATGCTGTTTGAGCTGAACTTTTGCTTTGTTTTGGACCTGGAACATTGCTCTCCACCGTTAGTTGCTTCAGTAGAAAATACATCTTTTCTGCCCTGGGAAGAAGGAATGAATGGCTTTTGGTTAAAGCAGTTTCCTCGACCATTCCCTGGATAATGTCAATCTCCCTGTGGAATTCAGTGTTCTGAAAATAGCTCCGATCTATGTAGTATGTGTACTTATACAGTTCTGCTCCATATATATCAGCCAATTTCTTCTGTCCTTTCCAGGGAAGGGATCCAAACTCTACAATAGTGCAATGGCAGTTTCATTGGATCTTCTTCCAATGCCACCATCTGTTAAAGTATCTTGAGGGACAGGAAGAACAAAGTTGAAAACCTTGTCCTTCTCAATGGTTTAACTTCTTGCTATTTTTAGTGTAAACAAACTCTTAGCACAGACTGTGAACTGGGAGCAGTCACAGATTTTTACAGGTGCTTGAAGGCTGAGAAGAGATTGACATATACTAAGCAATTAAAAATATTAATACGTTTTAAATGTTACTGCACAGTCTATGATGGAATGCTTGGCTATAAAAAGAAAAATAGGCAAAGTTGGCCACATTTCCTATGCACAGTTTCACCAAAACCTTCATATAACTGAGAAAAGCATAAGATGTGTCCCACAAAGCTTATAGAGTAGAAAGACTCTGTGGTTAGTCACAACAGAGAGCCTCTACAGGCAATCCAAGCTCTGCAGTTTGGCCAGCTTTTATGTTTCTTGTGCTCGTTAACTGGAAAGAGGTAATGCCACCTGGATCAGTAGATCTCCATACCATTGTCTCTTGATTTTTTTAATCTGCTATATCAGAGGTGTAGGCAGACACCAACATGATAACTGGGTGAGTTCTGACATACCTGAGAAAAACAGGAGCCTGGGGATCAAACCTGCATTGAGGACCACACTGCTGCACAACATTTCAAACATGTTGCTCCTGTTGTTTTATGCGGAGCGTTACCAAGGAACTTCAGAACAAACTTTAAGCTTTCTTCTAACCAGTTACTTGAAGAAAAATACAAAATATTCAAAACGTATATTTCTGTTGCATTTAGAGAGAAAACAGAAAAAAACCCAAAGCTTCACAGTGCATGGGTGAGTGAACTTGGTCACAGGGCATTAATTTCCTTTAAGCAAAGATGGACACAGTAGCCTGGGGAATATTTATAGGCTGACTACTACACGAATTGAAGGCAAGCACTCAAACTGTCAGAAGCGGGTTGAGATGTTTTACTACACCACCTTTGCCCCTAGAAGTACGTGTGAAAGTTTGCAGTGTTCAGAGATGGATTTGCATGCACACATTAAGATAGGACAAATCCCACTTGCATGCCATTACACAAAGCTGTAGTGGAGGGTTCATGTCATCGGTATCACTAGGAATGAGACTCTGGGAAGCAACAAGAAGGAAGCAACAAAAGAGTGAACCTATTTGCCTAGTTTCAAGGCACAGACAAGTTTCTGGGGCAAGTCAGACTTGGTCAAACCTCTACCACACATCCACAGGCAGAATGTTGCATTTCCGGATATTGTGGCAATCCCCAGATCTCTCCTCACCAGAGAGTCTGGGCACTGGGGTTTTCCCAGTGTTGGGTTGGGATACATGTTTCCCCAAGGAGTGATGAACCACTGTGGCCTCAAGCCAGCCGTGAGGGTAAAGCTGGCTCCCACATCTTTTATGGGAACAGCAAGGGAAGAAAATCCAATTTACCGGCATCAGGCATATTTGAAAGCAAACGCCAGCAACCAGGTATGTGAATGGCAGGAGATGTGCTGTCAAAGAGTGCGTGTCCTCAGGGCAAACCAAACCAGGCAAATGTTGTGGCGGTCCTTTCCAGTTCTCAGCTGCACTGCTCCCGGCTTGTCCCCCAAGCTGGCTGGCCCTGTCTTGGCACAGGCCTGGGTGGCCTCAAGGCTGGGCCTGCCATGCTTCCCAGAGCCAGCGTGCCTGGGGAAGGTGACCCCGGGCTGAGAACTGAGGCAAAGAGGAGGCCCCTTGGGGCTTGCAGTTTATTGGGTTTTTTTTTAAAAGTGTCTGTATTATTAGTAAATTGTTATTGACAACCTTTTCCCAGGAGTTTCTATGCTTCCAAAGATGACTCTCACTGCTGAACACGATAGCCCCCTCCAAAGCTGCCGAGCACCCTGAGAGAAGAGCGGCTTCCCCACAGAATCATAGAATCATTTAGCTTGGAAAAGACCTTTAAGATCATCCAGTCCAACCATTAACCTACACTACCAAGTCCCCACTAAACCAATCACGGGTAGACTAGACTAAACCATGTCCCAAAGTGCAACATCTACCCGTTTTTTGAACACTTCCAGGGATGGTGACTGCTCCAGTTGTTGCCTCACAGGTCCAAATTTTTCCCCATATTTAGTAGGGGCACCCCGTTTGTCTCCATTCCAACGCTGCACCTGGTGCCCTTTGTCAAGATGGCCTCCCTGACGCCGCCGCCTCGCCATGTTTGGTAGGGTCACGCCGCTTCCCCTCCTTCAGAACGGCGCGTAGGGGGCCCTTAGCCAAGATGT